CCAGCATGGCTGCGGCAGGACAAGGCTCTTCTGCGCCGGGAAGCTTCTCTCAGGAGGAGGTACCTGGTGTGCAAGTTTTCTGGGCGCCGAACATGGGATGCCACATTCGTGTTGACCTGACCACAGGTGTTCCGGAATACAGCAGCTATTTGAAAAGCCCGTCCTGGATGGCCCGCCGTGGACTCCGAACTGTTGGAGATGACGGTAAGGCCTTCTACAAGAGCCGTACTCCCAGAGTCTTTCCGAATAACGTCCCTGTGCCTCATCTCAAGATCAGGCCTGATGACATTCCTCGTCATCCTGGCCACCAGGATAAGTCGGCGTACTTCTCATTTGAGGAGAGGGCCGTCTTAGACATCCTGGAGGGACAGTTGGCCTTTTTGTCGAGAGGAAGCACGTGGGATGCCGCCTTTTACAGCCGCACTTGACCTGGAAGTATGAGTTCCTCCGTTGCTTCCTTGGAGCTCTGGGTGAAGAGAGCTTGGACTCCCTTCACGAGGAGATCCGTGTCGTGGGCAATATGCGCCATGACCATGGAAGCTGGGCAGTTCGCACATCGAAGGATATGTCAAGGATTCTTCGACATGAAGCGACCACATGCCTGGGGAACTACATGGAGGCGTCACTGGAAGAGCTTCAGCGAATGAGGCTCAAGCCGTTCGAGTGGGAGCCACGCAAATTCTTTGCGATTGTTTGCGCCAACTCGAAGGGCCGCTTCAACCTCTGGGTTTCTCCCAAGGCTCTGGTCTTCAATCGTTTCTTTGATTGGGACTTCGAGATTGGGATTGGTGCTATCCAGGGTCACTCCAGGATGCCAGGCCAGGTCTCTGAAGCGGCATTGGGAGAGCGTCTTACCGCGGACCGATGCGCACAGCTGGGCATGATCTTGCCTCTGACAACTCGATCAGAGAGAAAGGCCTGGTGCTCGGTTTCACGCGTGCCGGCTGGCGAACCGGCCGTATGGCCATCCACTTTGTCTATGCAGGTGGAGAGGAGTCGCCGGGGCTCGGGACGCACATCAAGTACGGAAGCTACATCTTCTACGCGAAGTTGGACTACGTCCACTTCTGGGAGCACGGCCACGAGTTGTACCTTACGGACAACGGCGTAGTCGGCGTAGTGCTCGCGTACCAGGATGTTGCTCCAATGTACTTGACCTTCCATTACCGTCCGCCGCACGAGAAGGATCCTGGCGGCCTTCGACACGAGGCAAGGCAGAATACGGCAGGGGTAGGAGGGAACCTCGGCCTCTGCCACTGCAGCGGGAGGCTCTCCACCCAGAAAAAACCAGGAAGCAGCTCGGATCCGAAGGCCCGACCAGCTCCAAAGAAGAGGCCAAAGGTTGCCAAGGCAGCCGATGCATCCGGCACTACAGGAAGCTCTCCACAGGGAGAGGTACCTGTTTCGCCAGAGGCCCTTTTCAGAAGCTCATAAGAGAGCACGAGCTGGAGGAGGAGAAGAAGCGCCAGGGCACAGAGACGGAGGGCTCCACCAGATATGCGTATCAAGCTGGGGACACTGTCCACGGCAAGGTCGATGCGCGCCGGCTCCAAAAGGAAGAGGAGCTGAATGAGGTGTTGCTCAAGGCCCGGCATAATCCCTGGCACCTCTTTAATCACGGTCGGTGTTCTCCATCTCACCGATAAGGAGGGCCAGAAGATGTGCTCCACCTTGAAGCTTACTTCGTGGCACGCTCTGTCACACGATAAAAGCGGGATCTGCGGCGGTGAGTACAACTGGGCTACGTGGATGCAACATCCTCTCTCCGGTTATTCCCTGCACTTCTTCTACAAGGCTTTCGAGTTTGGGAAGTTGACGGGGAACTACCTGGTGGAGTTTCGAGACAAGCCTAAGGTCTACACCGGCGGCTACACAAGTCCATTCGAAATCATTTCGGTGGAATTCCAGGGCTTCTCGATGAACTCCGTAAGGCCTCTGAGAACGAGTTCCGTCCTCTTGTTGGACAGATCGGCTTCCCGCACCCAGGGGAGAGCGACATTCGGGAACGAAAACCGAAGCCTGAGGAACCAGGCTATGCGGAGAAACTGGAGGCACACCATGCATACCTCAAGGAATGGGAGGTGTACCGTGAAATCCAGTATGTCCGCGAGGACTTTTCCACGCTGATCTCGGTTGTCACTGAAGCGTACGGGCCCGACTTCTTCACCTATATTCAGCGCAATGCGCAGAATACGGAAGTCCGTCGGAAGTACCTCGTCAAGACCCCTGAGGGGTATGGCCTGTACGATTCCACGCTTCAGCAGCCGTTCAACGGCCCGTATATTCTCGCCTGCCTTGAGAAGGTCTTCATGCAGAATGCCGAAGAGAAAGACCTCAAGTCTAAGTTCGCACGCAAGGCAAAGAAGGACCTTATGGCATACCTCGAACTCAAGGAGAAACGGGAAGCTGAACTGGAGGAGCTCTACACGCGTCCCTATGAGGACATTGCCGTTGAAGAGTTCCTTGAAAAGCCTCCTGTTCCGCAGGTCGAGGAGGTCGTTGATCCCGAACAGGACGCTCCAATGGACACCTCCGATGTCGCAGCAGGGTCAGCGGACTTACCACCGGGTAAGATGGCTGGCTCGGCAAAGACGGAGACACCCGATGTGCCAATGGAGACCGATGCTCCAGAAAGCTCTCCACCGGGGGAGGAATCTGGAGTAAAGGTCGAACCTACCGAAAGCTCTCTACCGGGAGAGGCATCGGTTACCAAGGATGAGCACATGGGTGACAACGACGAATCGATGGCACCAGAAAGCTCTTCTTCTGAAGAGGCGCCTATGCCAGACATTTCTCCTGAAAAGGATGCTGAAGGTCCCATCTTGTACGACCAGGGCATCTGGGGAAAATGTGAGAACGTCGTTGATCCGGAGGCTTTCAAAAGGGCAGTCAAGGAAGCCGAGACTCAAAACGAGTCGGCGTTCAACAATATGGAGAACGCGAAGGAGAAATACGGCCTCGAAGATGCCGATGAATACCAGGATTTCCTCTCTACCCTAGCTCAGATCGAAAAGACGAGTCCTATGCGTCTTCTTGCAGATCAAGTCGAAAGCTACGGGTATAGTGGTCTATACCACACCGGTATCAGAGACGAAGCCTATGACCCCATCTCCTCGTTCAAGGTACAGCACATGAACTGGCGCGCTGTACGGGAGCCGCATCCAGCTCAGAAGTTCTCTCTCTCCGAGAAGGACCTCTTCAGTCAGCTGTGCAGAATGACTCCCATATACCAGCGTCGCCCAGATCGTCTTGATGTCATTTTCAGGACAGGTGATGTGCGCTCTACCTTGGACGACAAGTTGATGGAAAGAGCATCTTCATCTCAAGCTGCCGCTATGGAGGCTTATGATGCTCTTCTGGAGAAGGTCAAGGAGCTTCACAACGACGGCCGAGCTGCTACGCGGGAGGAGTTGCTCAATGCCATGCTCCATTACTTCCTCGGTGTTGGTGTTGACGAAGAGGATATCGGAGACTTGTCACTGAACAAGATACGGAATCCTGTCTTCTTTCGTTTTGGTTTGGCTGAGGATGGGCCAGTTCCAATTTACACCTCCAAAACCAAATACACCGCACTGATCCTCAACTTGGGGAATCTATCCCGCGGCAGGAAGAGGTCAGCGCCATCAGCATTCGCCGACTACATCGACTACGATGAAACGGGCGACACCATGGGAGCACTCATACAGTCGATTGCTCATAGCAAATCGCACCTTTTTATGTTGTGCGAAGCCTCCGCGGTGTCTTCACAAGAGCTCGATTTCCTGCAACACAGAGGATGGGAGGTTATTCAAAATGCTTCCAAGGACATCCTCATTGGCAGCAGAACCAACAATGTTGGTTCCACCTTCAGGCGATTGACAGGCTCGACACTGGTCGGGGTAGCCCATCACCATCTCCCTCTGACGTACCAATCGTGGAGATCGTCTATGGGAAACGCTGCCAGCAGGACACCAAGGTAATCGGGATGAATTTCCTGACTCTGACCTTACGGCGACACTCACCAGAGCCGGCAGCGACCGCATACGTGTATGCATGTTCCACTTGAACAATGTCGTCGCGCCTACAAAGGTGGCTGTTGCTCATGAGGCCTTGGGCACGATGCTTTGTGACTGCCTGTACTACCAGGTCGATTTGATCGGTGGTGACGCCAATATGGCATTGTACCGTGCCATGGGGAGAAAGCAGGAAAGCATGGATATCAAAGGAGGCATGTATATGTCTCTGCTCGATTACTACATCGAGGCATGGTCCAGTGCACCACAGTGTATGCATCTCTGCGCTCCCCGAGTACAACACGTCACAGCCAACAGCCTTGGTCTTCTCAAACAATATGAAGATCAGCTGGGACATGCCAAACACAGAGACTGCGTTGCACCTGATTGGAGCACCTTCCCAGGTTTGGATCCATTGGTGGCTTCCGTGATGGAGTGGGGCCATAGTATGGATGATGACCAATGGGCGGAGTTCCCTTCGGCGCGGTTTGAGTTTAAGGTTCATGTCTCAGAATGGTTGTTGAATTCCACGAAGGCGGCTTATCTTTTGGGGGACCGTGATGCTGAGGCTCATACACCGTTGTTGATCGATGTTACTGCCAATCAGTTTGATCGCGCGCGGACAAGAGCACTCAACCGGAACCCCGAGACGGTCAAGGAAGCAGCAGACAGGAGGAAAGAGAGACAGAAGAAGAACAAAGCCCGTGGCTTTGGCGAAGCACCAACAGGGACAGGCTCTCCACAGGGAGAGGGAGTTTCCGGTGCCACTTCCTCTGGTTCTCAATGACCTCCAGAACCTGCTGAACCTCCTCGTGGTTCCCAACGTCCTTCAGAACCCGCGCAACCTCCTCCTGGCGGCAAAGGCGGCAAAGCCAAAGGCGGCGAGAAAGGAGGCAAGTCCTCCGAAGGAAAGTCCAAGGGCAAAGACAAAGGCAAGGGCAAGAGCAAACACTGACTAGGTTCTGACTCCGAGTCGGAATCGTCGGATTTGGATTTGACCATGGGTTACAATCCTCCTGATCAACCTCCCACTTATATCGTGAGCGTATTGTTCGTCAACAGCCCGACGTTTTCCTTACTTTACTGGAGAACACCAACAGCTTGGGGAAACTCGAGATCGAACATGGGATGACGACGTGGATGTTCCTGAAGAGGTTCCAACACGTCCTCAACCTGATCCTTTTGATTTCCTGAACTTTCCTGCTCGTGCCATGCCTCGAGTTGGTCGACGTTCCTTCGTCTATGAAGAACGAGAACAACGGCGTGGTACGACTCGTGATCGATCGTGGGATGATGACATGCTCATGCTCGACTGATTCTGGAAGGAGCCGATTTCACTGAATGCTTCTCATAGGTCATAGGAGAAGGTATCAACAGTGTAGTGCGATTTCCAATCAGATCAGGAAGATGCCTTTCACCGGAAAGGGTACTTTCCAAGCCTCTAGACTCTATTTGTCAAAGACAAAGGAGATACTTTTCGTAAGAGAAGACACTCTAGTCGCCAAGCCGCATAATGCCAATGCTGGCATCAAGTGGAGCTACGCTCTACGATCTTTGTGCAGTAAGCTTTCCAGCAGGAGAGGTAACTGAACATGTGGGCAACGTTTGAGCAAAAGTTTTGATTGAAGATCCGTTGCTTTTCGTGTGCGTGTTATTAATATGCAGGTTGAGATTTATAGTTCTCGCAAGACACCTTTGTAGTCCAATCACTCCGCTCTTCATTCGCTTGGGCAATAACAGGCTATGTAGAATGCCGACTTCACGGCCATGCAGCTCTACGTGTCTTAAATTTGTGCCTGGTTGAAACACTGAATGCTACACATCCAGGTGCCTGTCTGTTTCACGTATCACTTGCATGTATCCATGCTTGTTGCTCAAGGTTCTAGCAGAGTACGATCTACAGCTGTGCGCCTGTAGTAAAAGAGACTCCTGTGAGCATGTGTTCCTGTACGCCTTAGCGAGGGGATACACGCCCAGGTTACATCTCAGGGGGGGGGGGGGTTGTTGTTCCCAAAATCCATGAACAACAACCCCCCCCACCCCTCTATCGAAGCGGTCTGCATCATTGTGCGATCGTTGGTAGCCTTCCTTTTCGGCGGCTTCACCGGGATGTCTTCTGCATCAACTTCAGGAAACCAGATTGACGGCACGGGCTTTGGACGCTTGCCGCTACTCGAGCTGAGTGCCGTCTTGGATGCTTCNNGGGGGGGGGGGGGGGGGGGCGGACGAGCAGGAGCAGGAGAAGTGGGAGGGGAAGAGTAGTCACGATACGGCGATAGTGATGATAGGGAGGATGATGTTCATGGTCGTGATGGTCTCTGATTGAACCCAGCTCTGTGCTTAGGTGGCGAAGACATGTCAGCCTGGGATCTACAAGAGCACCTGACCATGAGCCGATTGGCTTGAGCTGATGGCTACCCCAACTCTCATGGAGAGAGTTCCTTGTACAGGCCCTTCGGGGCTCTGCTGTGCAACGGATGATTGTGGCTTCTTATCGATGTGTGTACTTCAATTCTGACTAAACTAAGTTGTCAAAATGGTTATATATGGTGCTACGTGAGGACGGCTAGTGATCCAGAGGCTTTGTACGGCTGTGCCTGCGGAGATCACAGCTCTTTTGAACAAATGTTTCCAAACCCGTCGATGGAACTGTGCCTGTCATGGCCAAGTCGTTCATTTGCGAGATTGTCCAAATTAAGGCCAATCAGTGTTCCCTTCTGAGTCCCGATATTCTAGGGTGCTGTCTTCTGCCAATTTAGGGTTCTTCTTCACACACCACAATTTTGACAACCGCCCATGTGCAGGTGGGTAAGTGACGTGCCGAAAATGAACTTTACAAGCATGTCTGATTGTACAATTGCAGTTCTTGGAGCACACAGGAGTCTTAGGTGTCTCAAATTCGTGACAGTTCGCAGCGTTTTGTTCTCGCTGGACAGCCTTGTGTAAGCGTTCAGCACGCAGCTCCAGAGTTCGGCACCCGGCTCCTCACATTCACACACATCACCGACGTATTCCGATCGACCGTCCTGGAACCTGTTGCCTGCTTTTGGCAATGTGGGCCTTCATGAAGGCTCCTGTTGCCGAGGCTCGTCGTCTCGGAGAGACATTCTTGGCTTTCGTAGTTACATACATGCCACCGTGAGGTGAGCAGACCGGCCGCCTGTCATGAAGATGTGCACGCGATTCTGGAGCAGGCCATACTTAGACGGTCGAAAGGTCGCAGCAGCCCATCCTTTTCTTCGGCCGTTTGCAGGGCTTCCATCTGCTTCGCCAGCAGCTGCAGCAGGACTGAAGAAGAAGTTTTCTATGAGCCGGGTCGATTCTTGCTGCATGAAGGACATGCGAAACCTCACAACTCAAGTGACGCAGAAGGCGCCGCCGTATGTGCCAATGCAGTCCGCGTGTCCGTGTACCAATCGATGTCAGCCAACTCCGGCTACCGAAGCATGTGTCAAAAGCCTCTGAAGGATTTGCCATTTGTGCGACATGTGCAACCCCATATAACCCGGTACAGCTCCGAGAAAATGCTCATAGGATTCATTTGTTCGTTTGAGTTTTCATTTCCCTGTCCGGGTGTTGCAAGTGAGTGAGCCCTGTTCAAGGCGGCCAGGGTGCACAGAAGTGGGGACAAAAAGCGTGTCATGATATCTGACTGGGTGCCGTAATGAATTCTGAAGACGTTACCGGCGTGAGGTGTATGGTGAATGATCACAAAAGTTCAAAGGACTGAGAGCCCTTTGGTTTCAGCAACGTAGCAGCGGACCCCAAGGCTCAAACCCAAAATAGGCTCGAATCCTGAGTCTTGATCTAGATCCTCTCAGAAACTAGCTCTTGACCCATTACCAGAAGATGAACCGCAATGTCACGAGCGCGTGGCCACAAACAATAATTCATCAGGTGGTCCTCACATAGGCACGGGATGCACCTTGGACTAAGAAACAAACCATGAGCACACCCCCACTGTGTGCAGTTGTCTTTCCGAGACACGCTTCATCTCCGTCTCAATCGATCCTGCAAGGCCACAGATGCGGCGATGACGCAAGTGACGGATCTCGCTCAGGACAGGTGGAGCCGAGCATCACGCAGATCTGAAGCCTTTGACTGGGTTGCTGTTAAGGAACGTAAAGCTTCAATCGAGTTCCTTAAAGCAACCCTAAACCCTATAAACCTTAAACCCCAACCCCTAAACCTTAAACCCCAGCCCTAAACCTTAAACTTCTAACCCTATATGAAAGACATGCGCCCTGCCCTTTGTACACACCGGAAGCAGTGATTGCCGAAGCTCTTTTCATGCTTGGAAAATTTGTCATGGTAGCGGAGCCTCTCTAGAGGCCCGCTGTAGCGCCCCACACGGTAGGAGGCCCAGGGAAGTTTTTGTTTCACCGCATAAGAGCCTTATTTTCTGCTTACTGCTGGCTGCACCTCGCGTGCCCATCTGAGCTGGGCGGCTGCTCTTTGCTGGGCCCGCCCCTAATCTTTTTCT